TTATTATTACCATTTTTATTACTACTATTATTATTATTATTAAACCACGTGATGGAGAGGATGGGTGGAGAACAGACCCTCTTTGAAGACTAACTCAAAGAGCCCTCCTGGGTCACACCGCTGCTGCCGCGGTCCTCAGTGCGGAGTGCTCAGGGCAGAAGATGCTCGGGCGGGTGCTCAAGGTTGTTTTGTCTGTGTGTCGTCCCCTCCATCACATCTAGGGTAGCTGCGGTGGCTCTGGGGACCCCGGTGAATACAACCTCCGCTCACGCACCGTGGTCTGCGGCACATGCGGTCAGCCGGCCGACAAGCCGGGCGGTCAGAACACCGGTGTCAACACCGTGTCCTCGGGCTCCTCCACTTCCAGCGTGACCGTCACCCGCAGCTACCGCAGCATTGGTGACTCCGGCATCGGCCTTGGGGACACCCTGATGTCCAGGAACTACCTCCTGGGGAACTCCAACCCCCGTAGGCAGGTCAGTGGCGTTCCCGGGCACCGGGTCCAGGTTGTCCCTGTCCTGCTGGATCTCCACCCTGTCTCTGCATCAGCCTCCCTCGACAAGGCGGGGGTCCCTTCCCCTCCTTCCTCTTCCTCCTCTCTGCTTTTCCTCTTGTCCCGGGGCACCTTCGGGCTTGCAGAAGCCCTTCTGTAAGGGGAGCGTGGGGTTGGAAAAGGAGGTAGCCAAAGCATCCCCCCCACCCCATCCCACACTCGGCCCCCGGAGCATCCCTCAACCTCCGCCGCTCTCCTCCCACCGCTGCCAGGCATCATTCGTGCCGGGAACCTGAATATTTCAGCACTTGAGCATTAATACCCTCAGTATTAGTCAATATTGTTACCCTAATTCTCAAATTTCTGACTTCAGTGCTATAAATACCCCAGCCGAGGGGCATCTGTTATACGCCAAGGGCCGGGGCAGAGGGGAGCTGGGGGCACACGTGCTCCGGGCACTGCGGACATCCAGAGGGTCCCGCACGGGCACCGCTGTCTCCTTCACGGCCAGAGCGGATGGGTACTAACACTGGCTTAATTTTAATGTTCTTCTTTTTCTTTCTTCCTCCCAGGCTCAGGCTGTGCAAAACTGCAGCATCATGTAACTCCGTGGCACCATTCCTGTGTTTCCTGGCCGTCTCGAGCTAGTTTTTTCCCAAAGCAAAACAAATTTTTTTTTTTTCCTTTAAAAAAGTGATACCAAAAACCATGGTTGGGTTTTTTTTTGTTTTCTATAGCAGGAATTTTATATATATATATATATATATTAAAAATGATAAAAGATTTGATTTTTTTTTTTTTTTAAAAAAAAAAAATATATTTCTATAAAAAAAC